AGATAACAGGAAACATAGTAAAATGCAAAATGACAATGTGTACAACTTCATGGCAGATTTTTCAAAAACCTCAATATTGTTTTTAGTTTGTGAGAAAAAATATATTGAATCCAATGCTCTTTTTCTCCCCATGATATATCTCTTTAGCATGAAACAATGTAAAATGAGCTTTCACTGTGAATGAAAAATGATTGTATAATAAACTAAAATTATATCTAAACATATGGTATAGTAATTACAGACTAATTTTCTCAAGAAAAATGAATTAAAGACAAAACAAGGATGTAAAATGCCAAAATTTTGACAAAAATGAATGATATTAAAACAAATATATATTGTTGCACAACTGTATAGAGATTGACAAGAAACTGATGATTGTAACTGGTAGATGATACAAATGTTTGTATTTATAGCTGGAGTACATGATGGATGGCAAGCAGAGGGAATCTGACAGTTTAAATAAACCAACAGATACACCAAATAAATAATCACATTTTGATTTGAACATTTTTTTCGACAAACAGAATTTTTTGACATAAGATTTATGACCACAGCGTCTATCGTCTATAATCATTTTTTCTGATAAATTTGAAAAATTTTGGCAAAAAACGGTTTGGTATTTGTTAAGATTCTAAATTAAGACGAGTCAACCCACATTAATTGAAGGTATCAGTTGTTCCATTAATTTTTCTTTATAACGTTGGGCAGATTAACAAAAAGATTTTACATTTATTTCAGTAAGAAAATTATGTATTTGATTACAGTATGGACTTGTAAATTATGTTATATTGTAGTCTCCTAACATTGCCATATTTGGTCTGAAATTTTTTCTGTAATTAGGCAGCCTTTAAATATTTACGAAAAAGTAAAAAAAAATCTATAATAATGATACTAGCATTTAAGCAGTGGTACAAAAAAAGCATTTTTTCAAAACATCTTCTAAAATCCCAAGAACTATTCTATTATATTCCAACATCTTACTAAAATTCCAAGAACTGTTCTATCATTTTCAAATATCTCACTAAAATCCCAAGAACTGTTCTATCTATTATCGCACAAACTAATGTTGTTAGTTGATTAGCTTTGTGACCCTGTACATGACAGTTAGATGAAGTACCCGAGAGATATCCAGCATACCTCACTGACATTACAATAAATCAGTTACAAACTCAATTTCTTCAAATCTTTCATCAAATTCACCATAATTGTAAATTGTGATGGATACAGAATTTTGTTTCTTTGATGAAAATTATCAGTTTGAACTTGCAAATAACTTACTAACACACTAGCTCAATGATAAAAGTAGATTATAGTCATCTTTAGAACGCCATCAAAGAGTCTGACATGCTTAATTTTTATATTTTGAATGGAGACTGATGAGTTTTCTGGATAGAAATTTTTAAGAAGGGGAAGATTTTAGATTTTAACATGAGAAAAAGAAGAGGGACTTAAAAATTGAGAGATTTTTACAACCGTCTGAAGAATCACAGATATGTAATAAACGGAACAAAATCCCCTCCATGAAATGTTTGGAAATTTCACTTCATTCTGTTTACAGAAACCCAACCTGATAAGACTAGACACAAAAACCCAACCTGATAAGACTAGACACAAAAACCTAACCTGATAATAATAGACACAAAAACCAAACCTGATGACCAGACACAAAACCCAACCTGATAAGACTAGACATAAAACCCAACCTGATAAGACTAGACACAAAAACCCAACCTGATAATACTAGACACAAAAACCCAACCTGAAGACCAGACACAAAACCCAACCTGATAAGACTAGACACAAAACCCAACCTGATAAGACTAGACACAAACACCCAACCTGAAGACCAGACACAAACACCCAACCTGAAGACCAGACACAAAACCCAATCTGATAAGACTAGACACAAAACCCAACCTAATAAGACTAGACACAAAAACCCAACCTGATACAGACTAGACACAAAACACAACCTGATAAGACTAGACACAAAACACCCAACCTGAAGACCAGACACAAAACCCAACCTGATAAGACTAGACACAAAACCCAACCTGATACAGTCTAGACACAAACACCCAACCTGAAGACCAGACACAAAACCCAACCTGATAAGACTAGACACAAAACCCAACCTGATACAGACTAGACACAAACACCAACCCTGATAAAGACTAGACAAACACATTAATACTGTTTCTATTTACCTTAATATGAAAATATTGAATTTATATAAATAAATTGTGATGTTGGTTATAGTTACATCATAAAGAAAACCAACAACAAAATAAGACCAAAAAGGCATCCAGAGGTCAACAAACTAACTTTTTTAATACAATATGTCAAGCACTTGTGCACTTAGAGTCTTTAACAATTGTGAATAAACTACCAAATATTTCAGTGCTTTCCACAGCAAAGTTTTTAGATTTAAATAAACACACTAGGACTTAACCATAGTAAGACATATCTAAAAAAATTAACCTTTACAGCAGTGACCAATGACAATTTCCAAAAACATATTTGACCTTCACCTCAGTTCTAAATGTCAGCTTCTTTTTGTCCCAAATCCAGTTGTTGCCATATAAAAAAATCTGAGAGAATTTCTAACAGTTTCCATTATTTATAATGTATCTACACACAGTAGGGGATATACTAGGATTTCTAACCTTACATCATAAACAGGAATAATTTCACAGAACATTGAAAACACATCAATTTTCTGTCATTTGATATTTTTTTAAACTTATTAATGATTTTTCAACATTATCCTCCTAGATGTTAACTTTTATGAGAAAAAGACAAGGAAAAACCATCAGCTGTTTTCTTAAAGGAGTAACCGTGGACTGTACAGTTTTATTAAATAAAATATCTATATAGATATAGAGCGTAACTATTACCTTAATTGTTTATTGAGGGAGTCAAAATAAATCTACCAATCTAAATTTACCAATTCTGCCTTTTTTGTCTGCCAATTTTTACTTTGACAGAAGCAAATATTGCATGTTACAGGTATTGACAAGAGGATGGGTCTTAGGATTTATGTATTTCACGAGAAAGTTGCCATAGAATAGCCCATTAATCCATCTCCCATAATAAATAATAGAAATTTCCCAGAACACCTGATAGACTTACTGTAAAAGGAACAGAAACTAATACATATCTTTATAAATTGAAAAGAAGTTCATGACCTTTACCCAATGTCTGGGGGTTTGTAACAGAACTACTCCCTTTCCCATCACTTTATGGAGGCTTGCAAAAGGTTAAAAGTCTCAAAAAAGAATTTAAATGACAATACATTTATTAAATTTGATGTAAATAAGAAGTGATTAACCAGGTGTCAGAGAACATTAGTACTATTTCACCAGGTACTTCTCAGCATAAAACTATTAAGTAACAGTAGAAAACTATGAGGTATAGGTTTTATGCAATAAACTTCAATTGATAAAATTACCACCTGTCCCTCATAATTTATGTTTCCACGGTAACAAAAATACATTAAGAATTTATCTTTATAAATGTTGTTTCCTCTGAAAAAACTTCAACATCTTTTACTTTTTCAATCAATTTCCAACATCTTGAGAAAATATGACTAGCCATATGAAAATGGACCATTCTACTCTGATACGAAATTTCTGAATTAACACCATAAAGTAGGTGGAGTTTACTTCTGCTGTTAAGCATCATTATAGCAAAAGAATAGCAATATTTTATGATTTTTGAGGAAAATTTGTTTCCTTTTCCTTTTCTTATGGTTCCTAACAAAAGAAAGCTCGAACAAGCTTTTTTCAAATTTCTTTAAAAATAATATAAACAAATTCAATTAAGGCTTTTTGTTCCAGGCCTTTTGAAAATAGCTTTCATTATTATTAACTACCTTCCACTTCAGAAAACATTTTTATTATAAGCACCAGCGACACATTAATAAAAATATAGAGTATTTGCATGACAACTGACATACATATATGAAGTACATGATTTTAACATAATGTCTTTTCATCATGTTTTCTTGTCTTATTTGGAGTGTTAGTTCAAAATCAAAGAAGTTTTTATGTTTTCTCCAGGAAACTGTTGATGTCAAACCAGTACAAACACGACAGCCCAGGACTTAACTAATGTCCCAACTGAACAAACATCTCTGGTCACTTGTTAACATTTTTCTGAGACAATTTTCCCATAGTTTTATCACAAAAATGTCAGTAAATTTATGGTATACTGTACAGTGCTACTAAGCTTCAAGCTTTACGTAAATAGTAAAAATGTTTCACCTTAGACTCCATTTTCCTAAAGATATATAAACATGAGGTTTTCTTGTTTACATTAGTTTATTTTTATATATAGTGCTTCGTTCTACTATTAAAAACATTTCTCCATAGATGTTACGAAAGACTTTTGGTTTGTACTTTTTTTTAGATGTTCACTAAATGTCTGGAGGGCATGATTTTCACCAAAATAATTTCTTTATTATGGCATTAAGTATTGCAGTATGAATACAATACATGGTAAATAATGAACTTCAATTGTACATTGCAAAAATCTTGATGCACGGCTACTTGTGCTTCAGCCTCAAAAAATTCAATTCTATGTTTCAGGACATTATGTAGGCTTATTCTATAATTAAGGAAAAACATTTACTGAAATTTAATGATTAGAAATAAATTTAGTATAATTCCATTGAGACAGCAAGCCAACACTACAAGCAAACCAAAAATAGACACATGTGAATACCATCAGTTCAGTTCTATATTTCTTTTAACAAAATTTCAGTTTGAAATTAAGTTGTTTAAATGAGCATTCTTTTATTTTGAATTCAAATAAAAGGGGAAATGAGACAGCAACCTAACAACTTTAGAAAAGCAAAATAAAATTTTATCCCTGCAGAAACTGGTTACCTCATGGGGATATACTATTTTCACTGGATGGTAATATTTGTTTAATTACTAGTAAATGTGACAACTAATTTGTCTGTGATTAGAAAACTATAGAATTGTTTATTTACTTACTGAACTCTGAACTCTACACTATCAACTCAAAACTGAAAAAGAAAAAGAAAATACTTAACATTTTTCACCAATTATACTGCTGCAAGAACAACTAAATATATGTGGCTATTTCTAGATCAGAAACAACTAGTAATGTGTGGCTATTTCTAGATCAGAAACAACTAGTTATGTGTGGCTATTTCAGAACGCAAGACTGCTGCAATAACAACTAAATATGTGTGAGTATTTCTAGAAAGGAAGACTTTGATATGCTTTATACTGGATAAATAGAACACACAGATTACAGTGGAATTCTTTCTTCAAAAGATAGTGTGTCGGTTTACATGCTAGACAAGGATTTTTTGTTTACTTTTTTTTTTCTATTCCGGTAATATTCAATTGGCTTCGTGCTAAACAGGTAATAGTTTATAATGGGCTTTATTCTAAATATAAATCTTGGATGTTTCATACTACGAATCATTATTTAATGAGCTTTATACAAGACACTTTGAATTAGAAATTAAATTTTCAGTTTCTTGCTAAAGACAGGAAGCATTAATCATATGTCAGTTAGAATTTGGAGGTGACGATTGTTTATAATGCCCAATTCTGCTAAATTTAGCAGGACTTGCCCTTAATAACCTAACTGAAAGCATATTTTCTGCACAATAAACACAAACACTTGTATCAAAAGAAGTTCTGTTGTATTCCTGCTACATATGATAGCTTTGTATGGTTCAATGACAAGAGTTATGTCCCCTTAATACAAAGTACTTCAGACTTCCCCCATAAAGTGGTATTAATACAGTTCAAACTATCTATTATGTAATATTTCCAAATAAATAAATCACAACTATAAAAACATCAAAGAAAAATTTGTACTCCCTCCTCCTGGTTCTAAATTTATACATCAAGTTCACTCCAGCAGAAAAAGGATTTTCTTCTTCAATTGAGTTAGCAAATTTAAAGGTAATTTTGCACCCAAGTGACTCTCTCTGAGACAAATATGGACAAAATATATTTTAGAATTGATTTTTCCAAATGGTTCATTTACTACTGTATCTCAAGCTGGTGCAACAGGTCATGACAAACAGTTGGACGTTATTTTGAGGCCAATGAATACACAAGATTTAAAAATGTATATGTTGCTTTGTAAAATGATTGATGTATGCATGAAGTGTTGTACTGACAAAGTAACAGGTGAGAAAGTTAGGTAATGTTGACAATATCTTACAAACTTTTGTTCGGCGTGGACGTCTTTCACAATGATTTGGGACAATCATCTACGACAAGACGAATAACGTCAAGTGTATTCAGATACATTACCGTCATATAATTGCTTTCTAAACGGAAAATAAAGGCAAAATAAAGGCGAAAGATATTGACAAAATTTCTATTTGCTTCACAACAAGGTAAAAATATAAATGGCTAGTAAATCCTTTTGCCAACAAAATCAACACCTGGAATAAACAATTTTATTGATTCAATAGTTGGTATAAAGGATATGGAAGAAAATGAATCTCGGACCCAGAACTGTACTACGCCATCCAGTTTAATTCTCCATCCATCATTTTTAACAGCTTTTCTAAACCAATTTCAAATCACAAAATAGCTCATATAAATTATCAATGGTAGTTTTGTGAAAGAGGTATTTTATATGTCACCTTTTTGTGAATATTCTTTTTTTTTAACTATACATTTATATGGTCAATTTCTTCAAAATTGGTTTTTATGAAAGAAATTGATTGATGACTCTCAAATTTAAGGTGAGAAATTTAAACGCTAAATATCAAACAGAAGCAACTTAAATTTACAAACAAATTGTCTGTCTACCATGAAAACATTAAATAAAAATTAGTATGGTCATTTGAACCATAAAAGCAGATGGCCATATGTTTAACTATTTCAATGTTAATATTTCAAAAATACATTTAATAAATGAGAAAAGAATAAAGTGGGAAAAATAAAACCAAATAAATTAGTAAAATACAATTCTTTGATCTCAATACCGAGGAAATATCCACTCTACTACCCATAATAAAGCAATGATTTAATATTACCCTGTTTTAAATAATTAAAGCATATCTTGTATTACTTCTTTCGTTAAAAAAAACCAAACTTAGCAGAGTATATGTATAGAGTATTGACCCCTTAAATATAACACCTTTCTGAATATGCAATTTAAAGCAATCTAATAAAGACAATCTTAAAGATTTGTAAAGATTTCAATTCAAACTTAGACACCGTAGGTTATTTAGCATGACTAATTACTTTGAAAACACACCCGTCTTATTCAAACTGATACATTTTTTCGTTGAGACCCATTGTATGTGATTGGGATAGAATTTCAGTCATCATAAAAAACGTCACTTCAATTTTACTAAGCGTCTTCGGTTTTGAAAAAAATCTCTAAGCTAGCCCATTGAAATCCTCTATGCATATCGTGCTAAACTTTACTAAGTCGGGTGTCGATACGGCAATAAAAACACACTAAATGCTCATTTATGGACTGGAAATGTAATTGAGACACAGCATTATACAATGGTTTATAGATCTTCAAACTGATATAACATTGTTAACAATCTGGTATCAATACCAGACTGGTAACCATGACAAACAACTTCGGCCACAAAATACAACCACAAAGGAAATTTGACAAATTTACTGGTCAGCAGAAAATATATGTAAAAGATAAAGTAAAAATATTTGCAGTATTTTTTTTCTGTGACACTTCTCGATAGTAGTTTTTAACAAAAGGAATTTTTCACCAAAATTCATTGTAAAAATCATCAAAATACTTTTATTGAGTTACTCACTATATATGGTCATCATAATATACAGAAAGAGACAGAATAACCAGAATAGATATCTAACTGAAATGTTGCTACACACAGGGAATTTGTCCTTTATCTTTAACCACACTTGTCATATTACTGATGTTTCTAAAACAGTTTCAGAATGACAAATAATTGTTGGAGTCGTCTTCAGATAGTCTAATGATACAATAATTTAACAGTTTTAAATTACAAATAAATTTTGCAGTAATTTTTCTCCTCCAAGGTTGTATTACTATAAAATATATAATTGCAGTTTAAAGATTGCATATAATTATATTTTTGTCAATAGATAATTTAAAATTTTGTGTATTATTTCAATTTTGGGACACAATATTGTATGTAATAGAAATCTGATGAAATTTAGACAGTTTGAACTTTAAAGTCTATTAAGGTGATTTTCTGAATAATTTGAAGATTCTATCACTGGTATTTTAATGACCAATCAAAAGACCTTCATTTTTTTCCTTATTAAAGATCTAGGTAAAATTTAGAACAGCACTTTTAATAGTTTTTTTGAAACAAACCTCCCTCAAAAAGACCAAAAACCCAATAAATATAAGATGTGGTATAAATTGACAATGAGACAACTATCCAACAGAGACCAAATGATGCAGATGTTAGCAACTATACTATGTTTTAATTCAATAAAATGTAAAATAATAATGCCCCTTTTTCCATCATGGCCTGTGAATGTGAATTGAAGGGGTTATAACTTACTGGAGTTAACACAGGTCATAGATCAAGTTTAGAGTTAACACAGGTCAGAGATCAAATTTAGAGTTAACAAGGTTATAAATCAAGTTTAGAGTTAACGTGGCCATAGATCAAGTTTAGAGTTAACACAGGTCATAGATCAAGTTTAGAGTTAACACAGGTCAGAGATCAAGTTTAGAGGTAATACAGGTCATAGATCAAGTTAAGAGTTAACACAGGTCAGAGATCAAGTTTAGAGTTAACACAGGTCATAGATCAAGTTTAGAGTTAACACAGGTCATAGATCAAGTTTAGAGTTAACATGGTCAAAGATCAAGTTTAGAGTTAACACAGGTCATAGATCAAGGTTAGAGTTAATGCAGGTCATAGATCAAGTCTAGAGTTAACACAGGTCAGAGTTCAAGTTAAAAGTTAACATAGGTCAGAAATCAAGTTTAGAGTTAACACAGGTCAGAGATCAAGTTAAGAGTTAACACAGGTCAGAGATCAAGTTTAAAGTTCACACAGGTCAGAGGTTACATTTATGGTTTCTCTACCGGAACCCTTACTTTGGTTTGTTTAGGTCTAATCTATGTTTCTAAAGCTCTTGAATTTCTTGCCTGGACTTACAAACCTTGTATGACAGGACCTTTAATATAAAATAAATCTTACAGCTGGGCAACATTACATAGTACTATTCTGTCTGATGGATAAAACTATTCATATGGGGGTTAGAATAATGTTTTTCTTTCCACTCTGGTTATATTTTAACATACTTATAATTTTACAAGCTCGATATCTATCAATGTTTACATAAATTAAATGTTATATTAAATTTTCTAAGTACTCATTCACATAATGTTTATTATGTAAATGTTTACTAAAATCATAATGAAGTATATAATTTCAAGATAAAATATTATCAAGATCCCCACTTGTGTTTTAATCGTTTAATGATATCGATAAACATTTTAAATATATTTAAACACATAAGAAAATACCAATGATATTTGTAACCTTTCATAAGTACAAAAATATTTTGAATGGCGTTATTTGAACCAATGACCCCCTACTAATACAGAAACTAGGTCTTTTCATGTCTACATACTATGGACAAATTGGACATGGGATTTCTAACAGACTTGCTACATTCTCTTTAAACAACAGCCAAAAAGCTTTGTCCCATTTCTAAAGAAGAACATATTCATTTTTATATATTCTTCTATTCTTTGTCCTTTCGATGTTTGATATCGTATTGATAAAATACATCCTTTAACAAAGCAATAATTAAATTCAGTTTTTTAAACATCGATTTTTCAAATCATAAAATTTAATACAAATTTGATAAATACCCTGAAAAAAAATGTTCCTCTGTAGAGTATTTGAAAAGTAAAGATTGTGTGAAATTTGACAAATTTGTAATGGGTTGTTTGGTGCAGTGCTGTTTGTAGTATGCAATAGACTGGAATTAACATACACAAAACATGGAGTAATCATCCCTATAATACGGAAAAATCTATCAG